ACTGACCACAGGGCAGGTTTTCAAGAAGACTGCCACGTCTTTTCCCCTCTAGTGCACCTTTTGGTTAGCAGCTGAGCGCTTCAACCACTGTGCCACCAGGGCTCTTAGGGTGTATTGGTGTTGTTAAGTGCTGTTAAGTTGGTTCCGACTCATAGCGACCTTGCATAAGGTCCAAGGAGAGTAGCCTTTACTTGAGGACTAGTTTGTTTCTGCTTCTAATGGTTAGCCTTTTTGGGTGCTCTATTAAATGACAGCAGAATCCCTCCCTTGCTTGGTTAGAGTTTGAATGTATCTCTACTCCTTGCAGGAGTGCTGGTGTGGTGCTATAGCATAAATACTGGACTGCTAGCTGCAGCATTGGTAGCTCAAGCCTACCAGCTGCTCCTTGGAAATCCTATACAGGATCTTTATGAATCCGAATTGACTCAACGGCAGTTAGCAACAGCAACAACTACTCCTTGCAAGATCCAGTAGTTGATCGATTTACAGCACCTCAGTAATTAAGTATTCCTTTGGTCCAGTGTAGTTCATTGTCTCTCTGCATGTCACATTAGTGTCTCTATGCAGATTTCTAGAACTCTTTCTCATAATTGCATCTTTGTTTCTGCTCCTCTGCCTTGCAAAATCCAGCTGTCTCTTCTGCCTTCTGAACATAAGGAGACTGTTGTGCTCTGATTTGAATTGTAGTCCAGAAATGCCTCCAGGCAGATAGCTAGGACAGTCTTGGAGCTCACCATGTTTCTTTTCCTTCTTTCAGAGATTACAGTTTTACACTGCCAGTTGCCTGTTGTCTAAAACCAGTTGTTTGATATACGTAACTGAAAAACTCTATTTTTATAGTGGAAGACAAGTCCAGTAATGATTCTCTCTTATGGTTAGCAGCAGAAGTCTCCATGTACATCTGTGTCAGTTGTTTGGAAATGGAAGTGGATTTTTTTTCTCCTCCAAATTGCTTAGTTTCATTTAGTATCTTAAGATGTTATTTCAATTCACATTTTAAAAATAAAACATAAATTCACATGCTTCACAATTCATAGGGTCCAAAAGAGGGTATACAGTAAAGTCTCCTTTACTTTGTTTTCCAGCTGCTCATTTCCTATTCTTGTTGCTGTTAATAATTTTTTTTTTTACGTTTTGTATTATCAGTTTCCTATGTGTCTTTAAGGAGTTCTGGTGTGGCACAGTAGGTTAATGTGCTGACTGCAAAGTTGGTTTGAGCCTCAAGGTTGGTGGTTCAAGCTCACCAGCCGTTCCTCGGAAACCTTATACAGAGTTGCTATGGGTCAGAACCAACTTGACAGCACTAAACAACAACAACATGTTTAAAGAGACTTGATGCTTCTATTCATTACATAGACCATACCTCAATTTATTGCCCTTCACAGATAATAGGGAGGTTAAAAAAAACAACAACAAATTGAAGGTTTGTGGATGCTTTATTGAGCAAACCAATCACCACCATTTTCTTCAACAGCATGTGCTTACTTTATGTCTCTGTGCTGTTTTGGTGACTCAGGTATTTAACAATATATAAAACTTTCTCATAGTGCTCTTGCATATTTGATACAATCCATACACACCACTAAAAAAAACACAACATACTACAGTCCTGGTGCAATGCTGTTGAATAAGCACTGTACTGCTAACTGCTAGGTTGGTGGTTCAAATCCACCAGCCACTTCTTGGAAACCCTATACAGGGTTGCTGTGAGTTGGAACCGACTTGATGGCTCTTAATAATAAAAAATATGTGTAAAGACCATGTATATTGCTTCTTGGAGAAGAGATATTAAGCATCTAATATAGATGTCACTTTCATGTATTATTTGAGTTGTGAAAAGTAGAGAAAGTGGAAAAGTTACAGAAATAAGAGAGTAGGATAGTGATCAAAAATAGTAATTGGGGCAGGAAGTTTGTTTTTATTCTCAAGCAGCATGGTTGCTGCTGGAATGATCTTGTATTCCTTGTATGAATCAGCCTGTAGGCAATGACTTTTTAATTGTACATCGTTTAGAATCCTACTACAGCTACTAGGCTGAACTTCAGAGTGAACTTTTTTTTTTTTTCTTTCAATGCTTTATGGTAAATTATATGGTAGTTTACATGGGAGAACATTAGCTTCACATTTATGCTATTGTATATTGTTTCATTGCCATGGTTACAATCCTCTCCATTCACCATCAGCCAACCAAAGGGTATACCCTGCAAGTCTGCCCCCCTGTTGTCAGCACACAGCCCCTCTCCCTCTCTGGGTTCTAAGTCCCTAGCTGCTCCATCTCTCCACGTCATCATCTCTGCCTCCATCTTTGGCATCACTGCTTCTCTGGGGAGGGTTCCGTTCTCCACTCTTCTTCCTTGATGTTCCCAGCGACCTCTGCAAAGTTAACCACTCCCCTCTTTTTGCCACAAAACGTCTACCTTTACATTCCCAGCCCTTACAATCAGTCCTGATAGCAGTTATTCACTATTGTATCGCAAGAGACCTATCCGCATCTCTTTTCATCAGCCCCTCCTAGACAGATTGGATACTACTCAGTGGAGATTCTACCTTGCAGAGCAAACTTTTGAAAAGAAATTCTTGGTCATTATAATTCCCATGTAGCCAAATTACGTGACACAACCCATATTCTGCAGATTAAAAAATAAAAAAAGTATAAAATTGGAATTATTTTAATTTCAGTTTTTTTTTTTTTTTCCCTTTCCCATCCCAATTTACAGACAGTTCAACCTACGAATGAAGAGGGATACTTCCCTTTTCAGTGATGAATTTAAAGTAGAAACATCAAATAAAGTACTTGATTATGATACCTCTCATATTTACACTGGACATATTTTTGGTAAGTTGAACCTTCAAAGAACTCCTTAATTTTTTTCTACACAAGAATGTATTTTTTTTTTTTTTTTTGATGCCTAAGCAGGTATTTTAGAAAAGCTGTGTAAATCTCAAGGAGATTAAACATATTGTGAAGGGTAATGATCTTTGAAAAATGAAGTAATCCTTGGATTTATCTTTACATGTATGCTGGCTTCTGAAAGGTATGAATTTTTGGCTTTCTCTACCACCTCCAAACTGTTAGATTAAAAAAAAAAAAAAACAACCAAAATTAATGACTTCTGTAATTTTCTGAACTTAATGGTCTTGAAGCAAGAAGTTAGTAGTAGCTTTGTTGAATTTTAGAAGACCAAAACCAACCCTACTGTCATGAAGTCAGTTCTGACTATTAAAGGAAACTGTTTAAAAAAAAAAAAAAAAGTAATAGTCAAAAATAATGTGACAAAGTCATAGGAAATTCCCCCATCCCATGGATTTTCAGAATCTTTTTTTTTTCTTCACAGTTCTGGCTAATTTCTTATTCTGTATTAGATCTAAAAGTGTGTGTGTATGGGGGCAGTGAGAAGCACATGTATCCCAATAGAAAGTTAAAGTATAAGCAGAACAGAGCAATTATAGAAGTCATAAAAAAGCTGAAAAATAAAAGCCATCTGAAGGTATTAGAGAGGGACAAAGTAGCATGCTGTAACCTTGTGTATTACTAGGTACTCAATGTAATCCTCAGTTATTAAGAAAAAAATTGTTTCAAATTTTATTTCTATGTATAGAGAGAGTTTAATTCAAAATCATGGTAAACTTAAAAATTATGGAAAGCATGCCTTTTGTTTAATGAGAGAAATTTAAAAAGTAACTTTAACTTTTAAAGATCCCTTCGTTTGTCTCCCATTCCTCTGTATCATTTACCATTTAGTGCAGTGGGTCTGTTTGCTTTACTATAAGTTAATTTAATGTAACAATTACTTATTCAGTGCCTTTTGGATTTATGCCACTCACTGTGCTGTGTGCGGAGAATATGATTGTAACAAGACAGATGCTCTATGTTTTATTATTGTTATTAGTAATTGATATATTTTAAGTAGTAGTTGTTCACTAGTACTTAAATAGCATGATGTATTTATTAAGAGATAAAATCACTCAGTAAATTTATATTCAGGATTAAACATTTTATTGATTCATTTATTTGTGGCTTTGTAAAAGAGAATTACTTTAACATTTATGTCCAAATCAACTTTTCAAGAGTTTGTTGCTTTCATTAATAGGTGAAGAAGGAAGTTTTAGCCATGGGTCTGTTACTGATGGAAGATTTGAAGGATTTATCCAGACTCTTGGTGGCACATTTTATGTTGAGCCAGCAGAGAGATATATTAAAGACCGAACTTTGCCATTTCACTCTGTCATTTATCATGAAGATGATATTAGTAAGTACTTACATTTTATCAAGTAGCCTGTAGCAAAAAGTAATATGAATAGTTAAAATAATGTGGAGACAAATGAGCCTTCAGATACTAGAATCACAAGAAAGTCTCACTGTAATGAGTAAGCCAATATAAGAAGACGATTTCCTTGTCAGCCCATGCCAGTCTTATGTTATTGAGATGATACAACTACTAATTATATTTGGAACTATGAGCCAACCAATTCTGATTGAATCTGAAATCCCATATTGCTGTTATCAGCCTGTATGATTAATGTTAAAAGACTGCATGTGTGGGCCATTGAAGCTAAAACAACATCATTGCCTTCTATAAACTGCAGTGTGGCTATTTGTGTAGTATTTAAGGGATATTTTAGATATTTTTGTACTTTGAGCATTTCTTTGATCTTAGCATGGCAAGGCGTTAGGTTTATCATTGTACATTTTATCTCCTACTGTGGCCTTTATATGAAATGGTAATTTGTTGTTTATTTTCTATTCCTGAAGCACAGAGTTCTTTTTCTGTGTTTCAGGAATAGAAAATAACTTTAGACTTCCCCATTTAATTCTGCCATTGTTTATATTCCATACTCTCATTCAGTAGAGTGCATCATTATAATACTGCACAAATACATTCTTCTAATTCATATGCCTCTTAAATACTTATAACTTAAAAATTTTGATTGCACAGAGTCTAGTATCTTAATTTTTGCATGTTATCTTAACTTGGCAGCTTTATTCTAGCTTTCTTTCTACAACCAGGAATTTATTGACAATAATTTCATTCTTACCTTTAGTAATAGGTACTGGCATGCCTTAACTAGTTTTGCTTTTTGTTCATCAGCTTTGAAAATGTCTGTACTGTAATATCTTCAACTGCTTGTTGTCTCTGATGCTGGATTACTATAAAAATAGCATAATTATTCTGGGTAGTATACATTTATGATTTTTGTTACCTGAGAAATCATGCATTCATGAATGCCCTTTTCCAATCTTTTTTTTACTCATCCCTATTTGATTCCTATTCTAATTTCCCTTCTACATTTCTCCTCAAGCTCCACGCTACAGTCTTCCTTCACAACCAGGAATATGAACTCCTTTGACTTCTATTCTTCCAACAAAATTATCATGTACCTGGTCTGTATGTTGATTGCAATTTTCTTAGTAATTTGATATTTTTGTAGGTTTTCTTCCTCTGTCAGGAGATATAATTTCTCCAAATGCAGTTTTTTTTTTGTACCTTTAATAGACTGTTCATCTCTGTAGTGGCTTCTTTAAATACTTAATGAAATCTTAGATTAGAATAATTTCTCTGTAATGTTTTTGTCTTAGAGCTTATAAATGATTTAAAATCGAACAAGACTTTTTGGGAAAGGAAGAGAGTAAATTGACAGATTCTGAACTTAAGTGACTGCCATGTTGTAGTCACTTTCTCCTTTTCCTTATACTCCCTTTTCTGTGTTTGCCTGCCTATTAGGGTTAGTATTATTGTATCGTCTTCTTAGCTGCTTTTAAGTTCACTTAAAAATATTCTGGTTTCCTTCACTTTCCTCTTGTAATATAATTGTAGTTTTTCATATTGTTTCCTATAATGACTTCCAGATATCTTTCTTTTCCCCCAAAGATGATGAATTAGGTTGGAGAATCAGTGATCCTGAATGCCTTTTAGTTTTTCTCTTCTTTTTGGTGTTAACTTTATGTTTGATTGTAGCTCTTTTTGTGTGTGTACCTTCTTAAATTTAAGCTCACAGTAAGGAGGGTTTTCAAGTTCTTTTTATTATTATATACCAATACTGGTATTAGAGCTTAATAATAATAATATTTAAAGTTATTTTGTTTGTAATTTTTTGTGAATGGAAATACAGTGATTTCCAATAGAAGGATTGTAACTATTGTAATGAATTGTCTTGAACATATTTTTCATTGCTTACAACACTGTCTGAAAATCTGTCAAATTAACTGATTTAAAAAGAAAATACCCATGTTTTCCATTTCAAAATAGTTGCTACATTCTAGCTTTTAGAGCAGGAGTTGACAAACTTTTTCTGTAAAGGGTCGGATAGTAAATACTTTAGACTTTGCAGACCATCTGACCTATGTTGCAGCTACTCCACTATGCTATTGTGTAAAAATAAATAAGTGAAAGAGTGTGGCTGTGTTCCAATAAAGCTGTTATTTCTAACCAAACCCAAACCCACTGTCATTGAGTTGATTCTGACTCATAGCAACCCTAGAGGACAGAGTTGTTGTTGTTGTTGTTGTTGTTAAGTGCTGTTGAGTCAGACTCATGACAACCCTGTATAGGGTTTCCAAGGAGTGACTGGTGAATTTTAACAGCTGACCTTGTGGTTCAAACCAACCTCGCAGTACAGTGCTTTATCCCACAGTGCCACACCAGGACTCCAGAGTAAACAAATCTTTACTAAAACAGACAGTCTCATCTTTTTCCCGATGAGTGCAGTTTGTGGGTTTTGAACTGAGAACCTTGCGGTTAGCAGCCCAATGCCTAACCCACAGTATCACCAGAGCTCATAAAACTTTATGAACACTTAAATTTTAAGTGTCATATAATTTTACCATGACACAAAATACTGTTGTTGTTTTTTTTCTCTTTGACCCAGTCATTTTTTAAAAATGTAAAAATTATCCTTAGTTTATAGGCAAAACAAAAACAGGTGGCAAGACTCATTTGTTCCACAGGCGGTAGTTTTCTTAATGCCAGTCTATAAGGATGGATGGATGAAATTACTTGTCATTATTTATTTAAATATAAGTTTTGGTATGGCACTGATGGATAAGCAAGGTTGGCAGTTCGTACGCATCAGCTACTCTTTCAAAATCCTATACAGAAGGGTCAGGCCCCCTGCCCTGACGGCTGCCAGGACCCTCCAGGGTGTTGGAGTAGGCATTTCCTGGAGCGAGAACCCGGCTCGGAGCCCTAAGATGGCATCCTCCGAATAGATAACTGAAGGAGTTTTTATAAGACAAAAAGAATGATGACTGAGCAGTCACGGAAATCTCGCGGGCCACACGGGACAGGCAGCCTGATCTCCAGAAAAGCTAGGAAAGGACGAAGGCCGGCAGGCTGCTCTTCACCACCAGCAACAGCCTGTTGTCAGCACGGGAGCGGAACGAAGCATCGATGTCAATGCGCCTCACACTGAGACCTGAACACATTTATATAAAAAAGTCAAATGGAACTAAGTTCTTGGAACTACATATAAAAATTCAATTATTACAACTAGAAACAGCAAATCAAAATGTCTGCTGAGGTTTTCTGGTAGAACTAAAAAAAAAATTAGTTGGTGCCCATGTTCAATAAGTCACTACCATTGACAAAATAAAACTAAGTCCAAAATAGGAAATTGAAAAGTGCATAATGAAATTAAATCTTGGATCAAGTATTTATGGAAAATTGGAAATATTTGTCCGGTATAGTTGACAAATAATGATTTAGAGGCGGTATTAAAGTTTATCAGATCCAGCCTTGGCCTGGCGCTCCCGTAAAAAAGGATGTAGGCCTTAGCCTTTAGCACGGTCTCTTCATTAGTCAGTGTTACCGTGCTGTCATTGAAATGGAACCTGCGCCCTTCATGAGTTGAAAATGCTGTATAATGTCCAGAGCCAACCCTGTAAAGAAGAGGGAAAAGATTGAAGACAAAGGAAACAAAAAACAAGATAGCAGAAATCACAGAAGGATCTGTGAAATGATGTAATTTGTCAGCGATATGATGTAATTTGTCAGTAACATTTAATAACTGCTACAATTAAAGGATAAATTCTAGAGATTCTATTAAAGATGTTAAGTACCAACAAAACAAAACAAAACAAATCAAAAACCCTATACAGGCTCGCTCCGAGTCCGAACTGACTTGACAGCTCATAACAACAACAAACAACAAGGTTCTAGTGATAGTAGTAGCAGCAGCAGGAGTAGCAACACCTGGCACTAAGTAAAATTCTTTACTTGCATTACTTCATTGAATCCTCACAATAACCCTGCGTGTGAGCTGTACTCTTAGTTGCCATGGAGTTGGCGATTACTCATGGCGATCTTGTGTGTACGCTGGCGGACCCTGTGCCATCTTCATGATTGCTGCTATGTTTGAGTCCGTTGTTGTGGCTGTTGTATTAGTCTGTCTCATTGAGAATACCCCTTGTTTTCACTGACCCTCTACCAACCCATGGTCTTCCCTGATGATTTGTCCAAAGTAAGGGAGCTGAAGTTTTGACATCCTTGCTTCTGAGGAGCATTCTGGTTGTATGAGAAGGCTTCAGAAATTTCATCGGCAAATGAAATGAAAAGGTAAATGACTTTGTGAAGCCCTCTCTTATTTCTTCTAAGACTGACAGTTTATTCTTCTGGCAGTTCACAGCATATTCAATATTCTTGGCCAGCATTACATTTTGAATGTATCTCCTTCTTCTGTCCTCGTCTTTCAGCGTCCTGTTTTATTTGCATTTTATAGATGAGGAAACTAAAGCTTCGAAAAATGTTACTATTTCATTGTAGAGCCCTTGCTCTTTTTCATGTATTCTTATGCTTCATTCAAGGAAGGGAGCTATAAATTCTTATTTACTCCAAGGACTTCTGGGCCTTTGTGAAATTTGTAAGCCTCCATAAAACCACACACTTGTGTTTATTGCTATTTCAAGCCAAAAACTGACCTTACTACATTTAGCAATGGATGTTTTCTTTTGTAACTATTTAAAATAGAAGATGCCCATTTGTTATTCCTAAATTCTGTCCATATTAATAAATTTACCAGTATAGTTTAAGAAGCAGTGCTTCTCCTGAGCAGAGGATTAATTGGTATTCATATCTTGTCATAATTGTTCACACTTCTGTATCATTAAGAAAAAGCACTTTTTTATTACCTAAGCTCAGAATTTAATTTTGCTGATAAGTATATGTAGCTATAACTATCACTTCGAATTGGGCATAAAAAACTTCAAAGCACTAAGAAGTTGTAAAGATTTTCACTGAAGACTGTTTCTGTGTTC